ACCCTTATGTGGCAGTCCAAATTTTGATGGATAGCCCTTGCAAATGAACTGACTGTTCATGCTGATTGGATCTGATGGGCTAATTCTTTACAACAAGCATAGCAGACATCTGCAAGAGGTCCTGCTTGAATGCAGAGGTACATGTTCTCTTTAAGGGCAGTGTAGCTTATTACTCACTAGAGATGTGATCAGGTACACAAGCTAAATAAGACCTCAGACCACTCTTCCTACACTGAATTATTCCCCTGTTTCATATTTGTTTCAAGGCTGAATTTTCCTTCCACACTGGTCTCCAGGGTGCCCTACAGGCAGCAGCCCTAATAGCCAGCACACATGTTCTGCTTAGTTTACTAATAATTTACAGCAATTTGTAGCATTTTAGTGCAATAAATTTTAGAAACACTGTTGACACAAGTTGTTATCATGTAAATGGCTGCATTTTGATAAATGAACACAGAATGTTTCTTTTAGAACATGCAGGTTTTCTTTGGAGCTTATGTTTCTGATTGCATATACATTTCCAGCTCAGCATGGGTAAAAACCTGTGTTCAAAATTGGGAGAAACAAGGCTGGAAATTTGTGTTTAATTAAATTTTAAAAGTATTTTCCTTCTTTACAAATTCTGTACTCCTGGCACATTGTGACCATGACAAGCAACATTCAGATTGTAGCCAAACAACATGCCATAAATGAGCTGATACAGTGCTTTCAACTCTATTGTTATTTGGATTAAATAAGCATTTTACGTACATAAAGAAATATGTAATGTTATTTCCTTACCCTCAATTTGCTTTTGTGGTTCATTTTGTTTTCAGCTGATAAACTAAAGGTGCATGGTTGAAACTTATCATAGCTTTAGACTTCATCAACAGACATAAACCTTATTCTGGCATTTTTGCTTCAATGCATGAGGGATATAAGTGGAAACACGAGTGGGCACATACATGTTTGACCATCACTTACTGCCCTATGTTCATACCTGTTGCCTCTAGTCTTCATCCCTGCAAGTTAACTAGCAAGCTGTAAAGAAACAGCCTACTCATGTTTAGCAGCATGTTAATAAAATGCCCACATATGATTATGGACCCTAATAACCACATTCAAGATAAACAAATCTGAGGGCGTCTCTGAGAATATGGGGAGTGGGGATATGGGGATGGAGAACAGCAGTGGGCAAATTGTAATCCCCAAGTCCTCTTTTGCAACCCACCAGTACCCCCAAGAAAAGTGTTTAAAAATACAGACAAAAGAATCTGGTGGTACAGTTTGAGCCTCAATATGGAGATATCAGGTTGACAATTTCTGCAGCCTTTCTTTTTCATATCACAACTAGTGGCCTTTCAGGTTGAAATCCAACATCTCATGAACCATGATATGGTACAGAACTGGGCAAAGTGTGGCCTGAGGGCCACATACGGCCCGCGAGCCACTCCTGTCCAGCCCATGGACAGTTTTGAACATCAAAACCATTTATAGCTTTTTGTCTAAAGTTGATCAGTTGCTTATCTTTAACATACTGCAAAAAACATATTTAGTATTTGTGAAAATTAACAAGTTTAAAATAAAAACAATCATAACATCAGTGTTTCATTTTATTTTTAAGTAAAGTTGGTTTGGCCCTCAAACGCAGTTCAGATTTTCATGTGCCCCCCTATAGAAATTAATTGCCCACCCCTGATATAGTACCTGCAGTTTCTCTCCCTTTATATCTTGCAACAGTGTTGACACCATACTGCTGTTACATTCACACATATACTTTTTTGTAGCCTCCTGCTTGACAGAGAGGTTTTTTCCTCAAGTACCTACGCAAGGTTTTTATGCTTTTAAGTTGACTGAATAAAGATATCTTAGTAGTTTTAACTCTAATTGTTCATAGGCATCCTTCAGTCTTGAGAGACTATGGTAATAATAGTTGTTATTCCTTCAATAATCCATTAAGTTTATCCAAAGGAAAAAGGTGGAATATTGTAGCTCATGGCTTAAATATCTTTACAGCACACCAGTCCTCTGAAAAAATGCCATGTGGTAATGTTGTCTGGTAAATACAACATTACCTGAATCTCTTGTATGGAGTAAATGCAAGATGTCCTGTATGGAGAATTAGTGCAGGGAAAGCGCCCCAGAGGGAGACCACAGCTGCGATACAAAGAGATCTGCAAGTGGGATCTGAAGGCCTTAGGAATGGACCTCAACGGATGGGAAACCTTGACATCTGAGTGTTCAGCCTGGAGGCAGGCGGTATAGCATGGCCTTTTCCAATTTGAAGAAACACTTGTTCAGCAGGCTGAGGCAAAGAGCCAGTCCTGAAACCAGCAAAATCAAGCAGCTGGTTAAGGGACAGATTGTATTTGTCTTCTGTGTGGAAGGGATTGTCACTCTCGAATTGGCCTTCTCAGCCACACTAGATGCTGTTCCAAGTCCTCTATACAGAGCACGTTACCATAGTCTCTCGAGACTGAAGGATGCCATTGCAAATACAAGAATCAGGTTTAGGGAAATTTAGCAAATATAGAAAAATGCATGTGGCCATTTAAGAATTGTTACCTTAACTTTTTTAATGTAGCATTGTATCAGTATGAGCACTTTGGATTTAATAGTCCTGAAGTAATCATAAAAATTGTGCAGATCAGTGTCAAAACAGTGGTATGATTCAGTGTATACACATGATTCTAGAACCTGATAAATTATTTGCAGCTATAAAATGGTTATTAATGGTTTGTGAAATGGATATTCTACAGCATTTGAATTTGTCTATTGATTATAAATTGAAAACAAATGAGAGAGAAGTGCTATCCATAAAGGGTTAAAGCTGTTGCTAAGTAGATTATCCAACGGGGTCCCCCCCATCCTAGGCCATAATTCATGTCAGACTTGACTAGAAAGATGTGAGCGACTGAACTTTGTAAAAATGCATTGGAGCATGAGGATGGCAGTGTTTCTTCACAAAGGACACATGAAAGAACTGTGTCCAATTGCCATTAGGCAGTGGAAAGGCTGTTAGGGTATTGGATATGACATGCCATTCCTGAACTGCTTAATGCTTGTGTTAATTAAATGTACTAAGTTTGCTATTAGCTAATTAGTCATAGGGAAGCTGGAAGGGGCTCAGTCTTGATATTCTCTTGTCCTTACATGTCCTGAACATGTGACCTCTTTTCTCTTCAATGGCAAGACGTGTGTTAGTCTTTCAGTCTTCTGAGCACGGATGAAAATTTTATGAAATAGTATTTTGACAGAGAGTTGGGGGCCTTCAGAACAGAACGAACTAGAAGGAATCCATCCTTGTGAACATTTGCAATATACATTTGTATCACCCTAGCAACTGAATATTTACCATACTTGACCATATACATGGTTGCACATTCCCATACCCTTTACTGTCCTTCATCTTTTTGGGCTGTTGCCTCTTTTGTCATTTATACAATCCTAAACCTACTTACATGGAGGTAGGTCTTGTTTCCAGCTGAACTTTTTTAGGGTTAGGGTGTTGGTCTATAAGCCCTTTGGCCGCAACATTTTCTCTATTCATATATAATTTATTCAGATCCCTTGGAATAAGAAATTAAATAAACACATTTAAATGAGTTGTGGGTGACTAATGAGCCCTTACCTAATGCACTTCTCTAATGCTAATATTGTACCTGCCTCCTAGGAGACTAAATCTACACAGATTACATTTTGCCTTGCTACAATACGATGTCAGAGCTATTCTGCTGCTTCTGACTACCTTGCCTACATTAACCCAGTGAGAAAATCTGTGCGATCCTACATTCAATATGTACACACTGAATTTGTGGGGGCAGTTATATATTGAATCTTCTAGTAAATATTTGGATGATTTATAGTGGAGCAAACAGGACTTCTGGTTCCAAGTTGTGTAACAGTAACAGCACCAGTTTCACTCCCCTCCCATACTAAACAATGCTCAGAAATTACAAAAACCAAAGGCCGCTGTGTTTAGTTGCAGTAATTAGAACAAATTCTTGGGCTGAGAATTATTTCTTTGTATGCCTTTTGCACCAGGATCTGGTTGTTGGATCTCAGGGTTCTAGAGAAAAGTAAGTAAGTAAGTAAGTAAGTAAGTAAGTAAGTAAGTAAGTAAGTAAGTAAGTAAGTAAGTAAGTAAGTAAGTAAGTAAGTAAGTAAGTATGTAAAGCAAGCACAGGAAATCACACAAGCTTAAAGTCTACCCACCTGTCTTTATTAAATTATGAGTAGACAGAAGTTAGACTAGGTTCTCCTGATAGATATCTGGGTGATATGCAAGAGTTTCTGACTCCAGATAGTCAAAAAACAACAATTGTGTGCTGTCAATCCAATTCTGATTCATGGTGACCCTTTTCAGGGTTTTCTAGGTATGACATAACCACTCCCTTCTTCTAGGGGCTACTTGGGACTGTGCAACTAGCCCAAGGCCACACAGGCTGGCTCTTCTTCCTGAAAGCACAATGGGTAATCAAACTCCCAGCCTCTGACTCCACAGCCAGGTATCTAACTTGCTGAGCTGCCAGTTTAGCAATAGAAGTTTCCAAAAAAAGCTTGTAAATTAGATTTTTGGAAAATGCTTGAGGGGAAACAAAACATGGATTTCTGTGCAAAAGGACCTGTGAGCTTGATTCATTGTTGATCAAAAACTCCTGAGCATACGTTCAAAGGAGCCCTGTTTGAAATTTGTATTATGTGTCCACCATCAGAACCAGTATTCATCATTTGTTTCTGGTTTGTAGACCTGAAGGTTCTGATTTAAAATGAAACAGAACACCTCCCGCAGGCCTCAGTTTTGCTCAGACTTGCACAAAACCTCTGTATAGGCATCTAGTATTAATGTTCATCTTCTGTTTAAAATACGTATACTTTTAGACAAGATATAATCATACTAATGCTTTTATCCTAATATGTTTGCTTACTGTAGCACTAAGTTTTCTAATTTGATAAAACTTTCATATCTCTGCGTGTGACTGAGTTTTGTGTCTAATATATTGAATTCAATATATTTCTAGGCAAGCCTGTCATGATTGTTACGGAGTATATGGAAAATGGTTCTTTGGATAGCTTCCTCAGGGTACGTTTTCTATTGATATCATGGTGATCACCTTGCCTCTTACATGTATAAAATGTACATAGATGTTTATGTCTTACAGAGCCATCATATTTATCTAGATAGACGATCCCCTTTCAGTTGAGCTTATGCCCAATTTCATTTGTCAAGGTCCTATTGGCTTGTGGAAGGCAAATTGCATAACTCACAGTGACTTTTCACTGGAAATTAACAAATCCCCACTTGGGTTTACACACAGATGTGTGTTAATTCAGTAAACTAGATTATGTCCAAAAGTCCAAACCAGGACTCATTAATTAGAAGCAAGAAACCAATGCATGTTACAGAATTTGCATTCTGCAGGTTTAACTATGCAATAGGATTTGGGCCAATGAGTTTGTAAGGTATTATTAATTATATTTCATGTGATTTTGCCCCACAGTCTAAGTTCTGTGAATGATGTATGACTAAACAATATGAAAAATCCATAAAATGCAATCAAAACACAATTTCACATGTGTGGCGCGCGCGCGCGCGCGCACACACACACACACACACACACACACACACACACAGGTAAGGAAGTCTGAAAAATCCAATAATGCTGAAACCAAAGCAAGAACAGAAGAAATACAAATATAAGTTACTATTGTGCAACCTGATTATAGAGAACAAAGATAAAATAAAAGACCAGTCCCATTCCACCCTCTGTATATAAGTACAGACTATAACATTTAACAAGTTTTTAAGGTATGCCAAGTGCCAAAAATATTACTATAGTCTTAAAGGCCTGGGAAACTAGGAAACATTTAATTGATATTTGAGAGGGGAATGAACTGCTGGTTCAGCAATTCATGCTGGTTTGTTTAGTGGCTAAACAAACCAGCCCAGAGACCTTTGAGTAGTGTGGGTGGCATCTAAGTTAAATAAATAAATTAAATAAAATAAACAGGTATTTGGTGCTTCAAAGCCCAGCCTCTTCTGGCAGTCAGGCACTCAGAGGCAATGCCCAGAAGAGGCAGGGAAAGGATGCCAGGCTGCTGCCTCCAAGTGGGTGCCTGCCTGAGGAGGCAGAGCTTTGAAGCACCAAACACCTATTTGGCTGGTAAATGAACTGCCATGAACAACCCAACCAGTAGTAGTAGTTCATGCCTATCCCAAGATTACACATATATGAGCTTCATAGATCTGTACAGTAAACCAATGTGCACATTTTTATATTTATCTCAACACAGCTTTAAAAAGTATATATTAGGATGTTGAAATCATTTTATAATTATGTTGCACTAAGCATGAATAGCAGAGTTGTGAGAAAAAGGTTATAGTAATTCTACTCTCTCATTATAAAATGTCATGTGCAACAAGCAATTAAAAATTTTACATTTCCCTCTATTAGTTATGTCGCATTATGACCAATTAGAATTTTTTTTTTTTGCACTTGGAAAACAGTTTCCATACAAACTATCAAAGGGAGACAACAAAGAAGCAAGTTTTTCTTTTTTACTAACAGTCCCCAGTAGCCTTTAATCTTTTGCAGGTATGCTACATTGAACCTTGTGAGACATTTTGCCTGATTCAATGAAGACAATCCAGGACACATTTCTCTGTAGACGTCAGCAGCAACAGATGAGATTACCCATCTCTCATTTGGCACTACTTGGGATCATTTATTCTCATTTTATGTGGTGCATTTTGGCAGAGGTTTTTCACAAAGGAAGTTCCAACTGACTTTCATAGAATGCCTCTGGATATGAACCTGGTGTGCAATGAGAGGCTGAAAGTTTGTCGTAAATGTCTTACAGAAACACGATGCTCAGTTCACTGTCATTCAGCTCGTGGGAATGCTTCGAGGAATTGCATCTGGCATGAAGTACTTGTCAGACATGGGCTATGTCCATCGCGACCTAGCTGCCCGCAACATTCTCATCAATAGCAACCTGGTGTGCAAGGTGTCTGATTTTGGCCTGTCCCGTGTTTTGGAGGATGATCCCGAAGCTGCGTACACAACAAGGGTGAGTTGAATGGTCTCTGAATTATTTGTATGAAGCTAGATATGACTGAGACTCAAATTAAACACTTGAGACCCCTCAGCTACATCTTCCTTTGCTAGCAAAGGCTGGTCGTCAACAATTTTATGCTGTCTGAGACAATTCAATACAGCTACAAGGAGCATATCCAAGACCACCTGACATACATTAGTCACCCTAAATACCCTTTAAGTGACTTGCCAAGTTCACAGGCACAAAGATAAAGGTTCAATAGACATTTAACCATGTTTTTTTTTGTAGCCATTAATGTCTCCTTCCTTCCTTCCTTACCTCGAAGAAACTTAAGGCAGTATAGGTGGTTTCCCCACCCCATTCCGCTCCATATTATATACAATCCAGTTACAGCTTTGAATTTTGCTTCCTCAACAGTCCTGTGCTTGGAAATAATGCCTGTTCTGTAATAAGTGCTACTGAGTTCAAAGGGACTTGTTCCCAGGAAAGAATCCAGCTTGTGTCTTTCAAATGGGAGGGAAATAATTCCAGAATAATCAACAAAGAGTCTTGTTACAGTTTAATGACTAACATGTTTTGGCCAGATTTTCTTTGCTGATTTACACTAGCGTAAAGTAACCTAAGCCTTGGCAGCAAATTGTGGCTCATTAATGAGGTGCTGGTTGTGTTCCTGGCTGAATATCCTATCACCCAATAAGAAGCATGCCCAGGAACACAACAAGCAGCAGTTTGCAGGGGATATGTACACTTAAGAATGTGTAAGTTAGTAATAGGAATTTGGACCGTTATTGGACCTAAATTTTTTGGGCTATAGCCCAGTTCTTCAGATGCTGGACTACAGTCAACAAAAGCTTATGCCTAGTAACACTTGTTAGCCTTTTAAGTGCCACAAAATTCTGTGCTGCTTTTGCTGTAAGAAACTAACATAGCTGCCCCTTAAATAGTTCTCCTATCACCCAATAAGCAGCATGCCCAGGAACACAACAAGCAGCAATTTGCAGGGGATATGTACAGTTATGAAAGTGTAAGCAATAGGAATTTGGACCATTATTGGACCTAAATTTTTTGGGCTATAGCCCAGTTCTTCAGATGCTGGACTACAGTCAACAAAAGCTTATGCCTAGTAACACTTGTTAGCCTTTTAAATGCCACAAAAATTTGTGCTGCTTTTGCTGTAAGAAACTAACATAGCTGCCCCTTAAATAGTTCCAGAAGAAGTTTAAGCAACATTCCAAATAATCAAGAGAGGTCTTATATAGTTTGGGGTTTTTTTTAAAAAAAATTACAGTCATAAAAGAGCACTCACTGCTTAGATTGTCAGTATGTTAAGACTGGAGAGCATGTTAATTATAATGTAGTAGGGTGAAGTTTCCAATTGAATTGAGAACCATCAGACTATGGTCCATGTGCCAAGCCTTTCTGTCATTATTTACTGTGCCATTATTGGGTGAACACCAGCATTAATGGACGGATGCCATGCTAGAATGGCACATTAAACTATAGTTTGCAGGATCAGTCTGGGGTTCCACAGGCCTTATCTTTTCTGGTGTAGCTGTGAGAAGTTCAAAATGTTCTTTTTCTATTTTTAACCTGATGGCCAAACTGTTTAAAAATGTATTTGTTTCAAATAAATTATAGTTAAAATTGGCCTCAGTCTGGAAGGCACAATAAACTATCATTATACAAAAGAGGAGCCCTCATCTCAGGTGTACTGGAGAGGCTCTGAAGTATGCAAGTAACATCTGATTATAAAGGAAAATAAACATTTGTATTTTCATATACCAAAGGAACAAATATATTCTGAAAGACACAGTTTTGATATCAATGCTATGAGCTGGTTGGATAGCTCAGTGGGAGTACAATTCTCCACTCTGCATCCAAGAAGAGCCAGCCTGTGCACAGTCCCAGGAAGCCCTCAGAAGAAGGGAATGGTAAACCACTTCTGATTAATTGCTACCTAGAAAACCTTGGAAAGGGTTGCCATAAGTCATAATTGACTTGATGGCACACAATTATTATGATGATGGTCTCTGATGCTTTCTGCTTGTAGGGAGGTAAGATTCCAATCCGATGGACATCACCAGAAGCCATTGCGTACCGCAAGTTCACGTCAGCCAGCGATGCCTGGAGCTATGGGATTGTCCTTTGGGAAGTGATGTCTTATGGAGAGAGACCATACTGGGAAATGTCCAATCAAGATGTGAGTAAAATGAATTCCATTGTCAAACTGTGACTGTAAGAAAAGCTTGAGAAGACAGCGCAGATTAGAAATTGGAATGGCAGGGAAGAAACATGGTATGATCTTTTCATGCCAAGCAAAAACCAAGTATTGAAAATTTATCTCTGGGTTGCAAACCACGAGTGCCGTTTAGCACAGTAAAATTTTAAGAATGTGAAAGAACTTATTACAAAACAGAAACTGAAAGATTATTCAAAACCCAGAGAAAAAGACAGAATGTTTTAAAATTATTAAGATCTTAAATACAATTTATAATAAAGTTAATAAATTTATGATTTCTTTATGATATGTCCCAATAAGTATACTAGGGAGTTAGAACTGTGTAAACAGAGAGAGAAAGTGTATGTATTTAAGGTTATATTGAACCAAGTACTTTCAGATGATAACATAAAGTGACTGCTTTGGTTTTTTAGACTTTTTTTACCTAGAGTCTTTCTTAAACAGCTTCGAATTTACAGTGGTACCTCGACTTAAGAACTTAATCTGTATTGGGACTGCATTCTTAAGTTGAAATGTTCTTAAGCCGAAGCACCATTTCCCATAGGAATGCATTGAAAACCATTTAATCCATATCTGCTGTTTTTCGTTCTTAAGTCGAGATGCTGTTCTTAAGTCGAAGCATTAGTTCCCATAGGAACTAATGCAAAGCTGGTTAATCCATACTCTACCACTAGGGGGTGGTTTTTCTTCTTCTTTTGACCTAAGGTGAACTTAGGTCAAAAAAGGGCAGGAAAGGTGTTTTTTTTTTTTTAGTTCTTAAGTTGAGGCTCCGTTCTCAAGTCGAAGCAACTTTTTGCGAACGGAGCTGTTCTTAACTCAAATCGTTCTTATGTAGGGACGTTCTCAACTCGAGGTACCACTGTATTGCTCCCTATCTTCAGTAATGTAAACAGATCTGCCATCCTTTTATATTATTTAAAAATATAACATATCTTAAGACCTATCTTTAAATTATGTATTAAACCACATAGGCCAACTGCGTTCAGGCTAACAGGAGCCTCATTGCACATTGGTTAAACTGCAGTACTGCAGTGAGGCCTCTGCTCTTGATCTGAATTTGATCCCAGACTCAGGCAGCTAGCTCAAGGTTGAATCTGCCTTTCATCCTTCCGAGCTTGATAAATCAAGTACCCAGTTGTGCGGAATGTGTAGCCTGTGAAATTAAATCATAAACCGCCCAGAAGGCACTTTAAGCACTATGGGGTGATATATAAGCAGCACACTTTGCTTTACTTGATGTATTAAACGACATAGGCCAATTGCGTTCAGGCTAGCCCTCTACAGGAGCCTCATTCACAGTGGTTAAACTGCAGTACTGCAGTGAGGCCTCTGCTCTTGATCTGAATTTGACCCCAGACTCAGGCAGCTAGCTCAAGGTTGAATCTGCCTTTCATCCTTCCGAGCTTGATAAATCAAGTACCCAGTTGTGCGGAATGTGTAGCCTGTGAAATTAAATCATAAACCGCCCAGAAGGCACTTTAAGCACTATGGGGTGATATATAAGCAGCACACTTTGCTTTACTTTTGCTTTATGTGTACAGCGAAGCAGAATAAATTGTAGGTGCCATATTTTGTGCTCTTGACAAACATATAATAAACAACAAATTGAAATCAGTCACTGATAGTTGCCCAGGAGGCACTTTAAGCACAATGGGGTGATATATAAGCAGCACACTTTGCTCTACTTTTGCTTTATGTGTACAGCGAAGCATAATAAATTGTAGGTGCCATATTTTGTGCTCTTGACAAACATATAATAAACAACAAATTGAAATCAGTCACTGATAGTTATTTAACTTTCAAAAGTACAATTTTAGAATATGTATTCTCATCTACCAAGCTTAGTAGTAGACAAACTCCTGGGCATATTACAATATACTGAACATATCATGATATTACTGATCCTGCAATGCTTCCGGAAGTTCACACTGAGCTGTTGATTAGACTGGTACAAAGTTTGAGTTGAATCCTTTTGAATGCCAGCAGATGATAATCCTCTGCTGGCATTGTTCTATTTCCTCCTTGTCATGCAAACAAGCCTATGGAGACTGAACAAGGAGGCACTTACTCAAGCTCCTCAAGTGCTGAGCCACTCACAAAATGGGCCATCGTGTCAAGAAAAGGATGGAACAGGATCTTGGGCATAAAAGGCTAGAAACAATTGCAAGTTCCAATTACAGTAGACCCATTGAGCATTAAGTGCTGATTTCACAGATTCTGTTCATTCAATGGGTCAGTTCTTGTTGGATTAACAATTGGATTGAGCCTGAGGGATTGAGTCTGATTATAGCTCCTAGCATTGCTAGGCTGACTGGGGAATTCTGTAAACTGCAGTCATAAAAGCTGCTTTTCCAGCTAAGACGTTAACAAAACACAGTTTAAAACTAGTATGTATATTATGGGTAAAGGTACAATAAAAAAAACAGTTGTGCAAATGAAGGGTCTTATATTTAGCCCTAGAAAGAGAAGATAATTTGCAGGAGATGAGGCTGAAATCCCTCACTTCTAACCTCTTCACTTTGCTAACAGATGAGAAGAAAGTGGCTGAAATCCTGTCGTTTAGTGTCATAAGTCGTACTAGACTAGTCCCACTGAATTAGTGGGGATTTGCTGAATCAACTCTTTCATACAGTAAGTTCCATTGGTTCAGCCAGCCTACTCTATTTGCAGCTTACTTTATTTAGTGTCATAAGTCGTACTAGAGTAGTCCCATTGAATTAGTGGGGATTTGCTGAGTCAACTCTTTCATAAGTTCCATTGGTTAGCCAGCCTACTCTATTTGCAGCTTACTTTGCTAAAATAAATTTCAACTAAAGTAGGCCCATTTGAATCAATGGAACTTATGGAGGAAATAACTCACCACATCCCCACAGGGCCTAGTCTAGTGTGACTTGCTACGCTAAGCAACAGAATTCCAGCTGTTATGTTAGCACTGGGCCATAGTCTTGAACAAATTCATGAGTAAGTTCCTGGCTTAAAAACAGTTAATTGCATAAGACATTTTCTTCACAAAATGAAAAGTAGGAAACAGAGTTGTTTATGATCTATCACTGGGTGTTTTTTAAAGCTATGTGCTACTTTTCAGCAGTTTCCCTAAGAAAATTACAGGAAGCACAGAATACATTCTTTTCACACACACAAACCACACAGCCACAACCTCTCAAGCCAAAACCCAATGTGACTGAAAATATGCTTGTTATGGTAACCATTGGCAGTCTAGTTTCGTTGCAATGTTGTGTAATTGTTAGGCCTTTAACTTGTCTGTCAACAATCATATAACTCAGGGAATATGCAGCTAATTCTGTGGGACAATGTGTTAATATGGGTTTGGCTTTTATGTTTTGTCTTTTTGGAAAGTAAATGAATATTTCTGGAATTTAGCAACTTGTATATCTTCTACATATAATATATTAAGTGTGTCATTCAAAATACCTCACTGAAAAAAGAGAAGGGATAAATAGTTGTTCTAAGCAATTTGTTTCAATGGATACTTCATAGTTGAATACTGCCCTCTCTCTATCAACCTGTTAATATAATGCTGACATTATCTAATGCTTAGCTCCTTCTATCTTTTGCTCTGCCTCCCCCCCCCACACACACATGTGCATACATACATATTTACATATATAATACACACAATACAAATACATCAAGTAAAACTGTAGTACTCTGTCTTATCTCTTTGGTACATGTCATTTACATCTCTTTTGTAAATGTCAAAAGGTGCTAAAATTAAGAGAAATATTAAAGCTATCATTAAAATGAGCATCTTCAAATGCATAATCTCATCATTAGAAGAAAGGCCATACTTTAGTAGTACTGCAGTAATTTGCACGCTCAAGGACTAAGGTTCAACCCTTGGCATTTTCCAGTTGAGTAAGACTGCTTGAATCCTTGGAGAGCCAGTGCCAGTTACTGCAGACAAGGCTTATGTTAGATAGATGAACCAGTATAAGGCAGCTTCTGATGCTCCACAGCAGTTCCTACAGGCTGTTGAGAAGGGGGATTGAGTGTGCCAGAGATATCCAGATGTTTTCTCTTCGAAGTCATTGAGCTTGTGTTGTAGGAAATGCATCAAAGTGGCTTGTATTTGATCTAATCAAACTTCAGCATCAGGCAAGATTGAATATCATCTTCTTCTCTTCAAAGTTGTATATGCATCACCCTATGCTCCTTCAAACATGTATACATTATCCTATGCTTTCTTTATATCTTTCTATATCTATATTTTTCTCAAGTGGCTTCTTCTGCAGATAAAAAGGAAGAGATATGCTCCAGCAGAGTTAGAGAATAAATATGTTTGTTTAGACACTGAGCATCCACAATGACGTAATGGGATTGCTTGCAGAATCGAAAGGGTGGGGGAGTTCACTGAGTGTCCTTCAGCTTCTCCCATCTCTTCTCCTTGCACAGGTAATTAAAGCTGTGGAAGAAGGTTATCGCTTGCCACCACCCATGGACTGCCCAGCTGCCTTGTATCAGTTGATGCTGGACTGTTGGCAAAAAGACAGAAACAACAGACCGAAGTTTGAGCAGATTGTCAGCATCCTGGACAAGCTGATCCGTAATCCCAGCAGTCTAAAAATAATCACCACTGCGGCGGCAAGGTGACACAGTACATTCTATATCTTGCACTCTCAAAAGGAACCTGTTTGCTTTCTCCTTGTACCATGATTATAATATGTTTGCTGTGTCTACCACCCATTTCCTTGCCTACACCTATTACTTATTAGCTGCTTGGCTTCCATGAGGATGCAATGCCGGACAAGGCACAGGGCAGTTTCACTGCTGTCTGCTTGTCTTCTAAACATACAGATATCTCGTTGCTCTGGGGGATACAAAGCCAACTAGCAAAAGAGGTCAATAAAAGCCACATTTCAAAGTCATACCATTTATGAACTGATGACTAAATGATGGCATCAGGTGCTCATCACCTTAGATTTTAGGTGCTTGTCACCTTAGAGATGATATGATTTAGAGATATGAGATTATCAAAACAGTATGTATTCTGTAACTGAAGGGACATTCTCAAAAAGCACAGAAATTTTGAATAGACAGAGAATCTAAAGAATCTTACATTTTGCTTTGTTGTTTTTGTATGTTTCCAACCTTGGAGAATTGAAGATGGGCTTGAAACATGTCAGCAATAGGGCTGTTCACACAGCCATTGGCATGTGTATAATTTGAACATATATGTCTTCAAGCATATGCATACAAATCCCAGGATTCCCCAAGAAGGGAATGGTAAACTGCTTATTTTCTATCTAGAAAACTCTGAAAAATGTTGTCAGAATTGACTTGACAGCACATTAGTAGTAGCAATAGTAGTAGCAGTAAATGTGTTAACTATTATTGTGAACACATCACAGTTCTAATAACTAGTAAAATCCTGCATAACCTTTTGTCCTTTCCTATGACCGGGGCTGTAGATCCTCACTTCACTTGTTTTTGTGTATAAAAAGGAGAAAACATCATTGCCACCCACCCCAGGAAATAGCACACTATTTTTTGGCCATCCATGGTGGTCATTCTCTAATTCCCAGGAAATTTGAGAATTTTTTTGCGCAGGTTGTGCAAATTGTGCACATCACCCAAGTGACTCAATGAGATGGCCACTGCCATCTTAGACTTTAGAACTTGGCTGGATTGCCCTGCCATTCTGGTCAACTAACCCATCCTTCTGGGCTTGCTGGGTGTGCATATTTGGCATCACAAGAAGAAAAGAGAGATTTTGTACAAACTGCAGAATCCTCCACTCCGAAGAAGTGCTCCTTGTTCTGTTCTTGTTGGAAGCAAGCAATCTCATTGAAATCAGCAGTTTTTCAGCAAGCTGTTTCAACATGTCGAGACAGCCTGTCTTGCTGAGAATTAGTCACATAACTAAAACATAAAGGTGGTGTGTGAATTGCCTGTGGCACCTTCAAATGTGCCAGGGGGTCAGCCATACAGTCGTTCTAGCAAAAGAAACCTCACAGCAGTCAGGTGAAATGCAAGGGGGATGACAGAGGATGAGATGGTTGGACAGTGTCACCGAAGCTACCAACAGGAATTTGACCAAATTCCGGGAGGCAGTAGAAGACAGGAGGGCCTGGCGTGCTCTGGTCCATGGGGTCACGAAGAGTCGGACACGACTAAACAACAACATACAGCAGCAACAAAACATTAATGGAACACTGGTGAGATGTAAAAGAACCACCTGGGTACACTGGGTACCTATTATATTAAAGTGTCTGTCTGTCTGCTTGCTTGTTCATTTATTTATTCAAACTATTTTTACTCTGCCTTTCTCCTTAAAAAGAACCCAAGGCAGATGACATCATTAAAGGACATTATTTGATCCATGGCTGGAGAGGGGACACAAAGGGTTCTGTCTCTCCCTGGAATGCCAAACGTTATTTTAATATACTGTACTTAGACACACTGCGCTGTGGCAATAGGCACAAATGATCCCTCACGCCAGAAGAATTCTGTCTTGACCAGAGGCTTCCTTCTTTTATCGAAGAATTCTTGCTGACTGTCTTGACCAGAGGCTTCCTTCTTTTATCTGTATTAGAAGTATTTGTTCTACATCCCTCTGTAAAACTGTCGTCATAGCCATATTTGGAGTTTCTTTAGCTTACTGTGTGAAACTTCTTTGTAATTTGAGTTTTGTAGCAAGTTTTCTTTTTCTCCTCCTTCTAGATAATCTAGGTAGAATATTTTCAGGTTTTTAAACTTTAGCTTGTCCTAGTGCCAGAAAATTGCATAACCTAATCATAATTTCTTTGACTTCTCTCCTGCAGTTCTGTCTGGGTGTCTGAGCATTGTTAACTTTTCCCCACTCTCATTTAATCTGTATAATGTCTAGACTTTTTTTTTTTTAAAAAAAGAATGAGTTCATAGTTCATTCAATTTTGATCACTCCCATTATGTTTCTAGTTTGGCTTATTATTTTTGGACCCCTTGTGCATTGCTTCTCAGTTGTGAATACTGGACTCAGTTACAGAACAGATGAAATGAACCCCAAAGAAAGCAATATGTTGCTTTTTAAAAACTTCATCCTTGAGATATGTGGGAACACAAGAGCCTCCACAGATTCTCTTTTCCCTTGGATACGTAGTAGGGTAAAGGATGACAAAACTGGTGGTTAAAGTGAGTTGACTGTTTTTCCTTTATGATGTTGGCCTGACTCTTTTGTCCATGAATATATAGGAATGCTTGCAGACCACCTAGCTTTGACTGCCTGTGGCTGAATAGGAATGAAGGATGAATTGCAAAGATGAAGAAAGTGTGGTGAAGAAGTGAGGGAGTTACAGTAGAACAAAATGAATAAAGACAGCCGTCTAGAAAATGTGGGGGAAGAATGAAGAATCTTAGAGAAGAGAAGCTGGAAGAGATAAGCTAGGATGCCCAGAAAGGGAAACAGAAGGAAGCCAACAAATGAGATAGAAAACTCTTCCTCCCTTATGAGCCTGCCCAGAATTTGAGGTTTTCAGTGGAGGCTCTGCTGCATGTCCCACCACCCTGAGAAGTTAGAGTTCAAAGCTTTTTCTGTGGCAGATCCTCAATTGCAGAACTCCTCCCAAGTGAAATCAGACTGGCTCCGTCTCCGATGAATTCAATGGACTTTCAGTAGCTAACAAAGACTGTATAGTTTTGCATAGCCTTTGGTGTATAAAACTGTGTTTAGACTGGTTTTTAGACTGATTCTTGATGTGTTTTGCTTTTTAAAGTTGACTTTTGTTTCTTTTAAATGTTTTTTTTAATCTTTGGTTTTTTTAAAAATATGTAAATATTTTTGCTGTTATTGTAAATCAGTTTGGGATGCTAACCAGTCTGCACTGTGTGCACCAAGAAATGTGGAGCATCACTATTGTTCTCTGTGCCCTTGTGTTTGTGGACATGCTAACAGGGAAGCAATCATGTTTTACACCAGCAATAGGCAAAGTGTGGCCCATGGGCCACAAATGTCTTATGGAACATTCTTGCAAACTCCTTCCCCCCCACCCCAGGGCTCCCAAGAGTGTCCAAAGTAAAATGATTTTTAAAAATCAAGTGGCCCTTGGAGTATTGGTTTTCTGCTCCTGGGCTTTGGAGGGTCCTAAAATACTCCCCCTCACCCAATGAATGAAAGTGTCCATCCAATTTTTGTTTCCTTGTTTTCTTTAAAAGGAATTCAGTGTTCAGTCATTTCTGTTCCTACTGTTCACTACAGCAGTCTAGAGGCTTTAGTTTGACTCCCCCGCCTTCCAAGTCATCAACATTTGCTCACCCCTGCACTCAGCTGACTTCTTGTAGTCAGTGAGACGTTCCCATGGGATTTGTATGAATTGTATGGAAAAACACCCTCTTTATAAAATAGAAATAAAGTATCACATTCATTTTCGCTGTATGCATGGAACCACACGTGTGCCCTTATCATTTGTAACACTGATAGTGATAGTTTCCATTTTCGTTCCAAAAAGGTTTGGTAATGGTGATTTTGATGGTAATTCTGAATGGATATATTACTTTATCCACAGTCCTGTATATATCTACTCAGAAGTGGATTTGCTTAAATCTTCTTGCTTCCTAATAAGTACAGGCAGAAGCATGTTCATTCTGTTTGTGCACTGGCTTTGGAGAAAAGTGGACAAACTGGAGCAGTAATATTTGTGCGCTTTTTGATCAGCTGCAGAGGAGTTCAGCAAGCCCACGGTGGACCTAAATTTACTGTGGTGTTTGAAGGGTTTAGAAGTGCTGCAATTTGAGGGGGAGGGAAATAATACTTGGTACTAGTTGCTATAGCTTAAAAAAGGAAGTGCCGAAGTAGAAGGAGATTGACAGCTGGCATCCCAATAGAAGCCAAAGCGTACTGGGGAAACTTCAGCCAGAGGTTGTGAGGAGGGCCCAGACTTGTCTCACTGGCCCTTATATTCCTGTCGACTGAAGCAAGCAACCATTTTGCATGGTACTGGGAGGCTGCTACATCATGGGTGGCTACACTGGCTGTATTCCAGATGTTTCTTCCTTTCCTCCTCTTTAGCTAGCTATAGTTAGATTTGATGGGGTAGTGTGAATGGAGGAAGAATGACTGGTTAGGCTGAATCTCTTTCTTAACACTCATCGTATTGAAGGGACCCTTTCACTTTCATGAAAGTCGTCCATGACAACAAGAAGTTTGGCTAAATGGGCCAAAGTGGTGTTAGGGAGTACCTCCACCTAATCACCCATCTGGCTGATGCAGGGCGGATTCATGGGAAAGTGAGAGTTGGGCAAGTAGTAGTGTGTGTAGTTCCTGGTGTAGGAAGGACACAGAAGGAAGCTGGTAGGAGTTTTACCTGCACACCAAGAGTTCACTACATTCCTAAAACTTTATATCACAGTCCTTTGTTTTACCCATTTGCCATTCTTCCCCCAGTCTGGAAACATGCAAATACAAATGGATTCAGGCTACAACCAAACCACCTCATCGTAGCTTGATCCTAACCTGTACAGCAGATGATCAGACACCGTGTTTACACTCCTCTGGTGTCAGTATTAATAAAAACAATTGCTTTAAATAAAAATGGTGGCAATGAAATATTAGGATGCTTGTTAACATCCAAGGCAGCTACTAAACACGTGTTAAATTTCTGAACTATTAATG